GCCACTTGAGGTTTCGCAAAGGTCGCCTTTTAAGGCGTTGCCAAGATTGCCTGAGGACTGGCGGCCGCGCATTCGAGCACGGTTGGATGGGCAGGCGGTGGGGCTGGGATGCATTCAGCCGAGGAGCATGAAGGAGCGGTGCCGGCGCGATCGCATCAGGTGACTTGCCCCTCTCCTGTCCCTCCCTCTATCTGTTACTCTCTTCCCCTCCCCCCCACACCCCTGGCCACCCCTTCCCCGTTCTCCTTTTTTCCCGTTCTCTTCTTCCCCTTCGTCCTCTCTTTGTTTAGCTCTCGCTGTTTCTCAGTACTGCTCAAAGGCTTCGTTTGTTTTGGTTATTTCTTATGTTTTTTCCCATTTGACTTTGTACCTTTTTTTAGGGGGCATTTGACTTTGGAAACCCGGATGAAATCAGGAACAGAATCTCTGACCTTATCGAAATCCGGTGCTTGTCTCGAATTTGACTGTATCAGGAGAGGCCTGGAGCAGCTACATCGAGCGCTACCCCCATCTCTCGCAAGAGCACAACTCGATACAGCCACAATGGTGGAGTCTGCACTCACTCACATAAAAGACCTACAGGTACGCTCACAATTCCTCTTATGCAGAGTGGTCTAATAATTTATGTATGATTGTTAGTCCTGTTATTAAAATAGACTGGTGCGTATGTATGTTTCCACTATCTGTGCCATGCATGCATGTGCCGGAGGTGATTTTTGAGGTGATTTTTGAGGCGCCTCAAAAATCACCTCTGTGCCGTGCATGCATGTGCTGGTACCGCTTAAGGCTCAAATAGTCTCTGAGAGGCTTGCAGTCTGATATAGTTGCAGAGTAGTTTCTGATTTTTCAAAAGAGCCTTTTCTGATATAGTTTCTGTCTTCCGGTGTTTGTTTATGCGTGCAGGGCCGAATTGAAGCCCTGGAGAACCCAGGAAATGCAGCCGTCAAGACATCGAGATCTGCAGTGGAGGAGACAGCACGTGGTTCGGCAGTAGGTGCATTCAGGGTAACTTTTGAGTCGATTTAACCGCCACTTTTTTAGCCTCCTCAAAACACAGCTCGGCCGCAGGCGCAGGCGCATTCCGGGTGACTTCTGAGTCGATGTAACTGTCACTGGAGACACCAAGCTCTGCTCCAAAGGGAGCATTCAGGGGGGCTCTTGGGTTGACTATGAAGTCCACTGGAGAAGCTGAGATCTGCAGTGGTGGTGACAGCATGTGGCTCGGCTGCGGTCGATTTAATTGTCAGTTGACTGCACTTTCATTGCACTTCCTCAGATTGCGCAAAGTTTCTCGGCGCCAAGTTTCCCCTCTGATCATTGGTGTGCACACAGCATCAAAGAGTTTCCAGGCAACTCAAAAGCCTGCTGATATCTTGTACTCCGCACGGCAATGTTTCGCGTAGCATCGTGTCGACATTCTGACATAAAACATTGTTGTGGCCGGTACCATAGTTGAGTGTATTTTGTGTGGTGCATTTTACTACAATACCCTATATGTGGCTGTGTGCTTCACCAGTGCATATGCATGGCATGGCATGCCACTTCCTCTGATGCAGTGCCCAGCTGTGCAGCCTTCGTTAACAGGCGTCTGCTTTGTGCATGTGCTTTGTACATACCGTATCTGAGTAGACTCGACTCTACCTTTAATACGTCCCCTGATTTGCTGTGCTCTCACCGCACGCAATCCAACTCAAACCACCCAAGCCGTGGGAACAACGGAGACCTTTGAATTGACTAGTAAAGAATGAATAGAATGGATTAGGGTGCATGGCAGGCTGCAGCCAGCAGAGTCAGCTTGTAGCACATGTCTACCTAGAGCTAAGATTGCATTATTGCACCCTACCTTTACAACCCCGGTGCGGTAACAATCACCAGGGGATGAGAGGGGAGGAAGAAAGGAGCTTTTGTTACAAGGAACAGCTTCATTCCTTGGGAAAAACGGCAGGACAGAAGGACCTCTTGGGGGGTCTAGTTTTGAGGCTCCTCAAAACTAGACTTCCTTGGGAATGGAAAACGGCAGGACAGGACCTCTAGGGGGGCTAAACTATCAGCAGGCAGGGAGGAAGCAGCGAAGGGAGGGACTAGCCATTGCTATGCGAAGAGAGAGAAGAGAGAAAGAGAAGAAGAAAGACAGAGGGTGAAGAGAGAGGGATCAGACGTTGCTGTTACGGTATGGCTGGCTGCCACTGGTGCCATCAGCAGCTGGAGCCTTTGACAACTCCCAAAAGCGACTCAGAAGACGACGTGGCAGAAAGAGAAGGATTAGGCGTCGCTGTTGTGACTGTCAGTGGTGGCAACAGCAGCTGGAGCTGCAGCAGCTGGAGCTGCAGCAGCTGGAGCTGCAGCAGCTGCAGTCACACCACCACCACTACCAGCGCCAACCCCAGCAACAGAGGAAGCGGCCGGGTGCTGGTTGTGGGTGGAATCAAAAGCAGCAGAGCTGGTGGCAGGTGAGAGAACAGAGCTGGTCCAAAAAGGGGGCGTCAAGGGTCGCTGATACACCAACCCCTTGCCTGCTGCTGCCATGCCCCCTGCACCACCACCAGCAGCAGCACCAGCCGCAGCTGCAGCGGCAGAAGCAGCGGCAGCCACAGCAGCAGCGTTTGAGCTAGAAGATCCAACTGACAGCGACGAGGGGACAAAGGGCGCAACCGACACAGTGTGACTGTCTATAGACATTCTCCCCGGGCTCGGCGCCTCCCACTTGCTGCTGTTGGACCAAGTTAAAGCCCACGACTGGTCTGACTGTGCGCTGGGGCTGCTAGCTGAGAAGCCGGAGAGGCCTTCAAAGTCAGAGGAGGAGAGAGGGAAGGGCGACGGGGCGGAGGTGGAGGCAGTAGGGGTTGCTGCTGCTGAGAGGTTTGGGTGTAGAGAGCCTGCTGTTGCTCCTGACGAGGAATTCACTGACAAGCCCGTGCTTGGCCTTCTTGCTCCTCCTGCTGCCCCTCCTGCTGCTGCTCCTGTTGCTCCTCCTGCTGCTGCTGCTCCTCCTGCTGCTCCTCCTCCTCCTGCTCCTCCTGCTTGTCTTCTGCTTCTGCTGCTTTCCCCATCACCATCACCCCCTCCAACCCCATCATCACCATCAGCACCACTCCTACCACTACCACCACCACCACCGCCACCAGCACCCCCACCACCACCAGCCACACCACCAGCACCAGCAGCAGCACCAGCAGCGGCAGCAGCAGCGCCGCCAGCGGCAGCAGTGCGAGCGAGAAACGCCTGCTCTCTCAGGAGGTGGGCGTGGATGTGGCGGTCCTCTGAGAGGCGCAGCAGCGCCTCCTCTGCCAGCAGCGTGGCGTGCCGGTTGCGCTCCCCCAGCGCTGCCAGCTGCAGCAGTGACTGCAGGCCGCCCATCGCCATCACCTGCAGAGGGGAGGAGTAGGGGAGAAGGGGAGGGGGAGGGAGGCGGCGGCGGGGGTTGGGGGGGGGGTTGGGTGGTTGGGGCGGAGGGGGGAGAATCAGAATTCTTGAGGACCTGTCCCTGAGCCTGAGATCAGAGGGCCTGTTGCTGGTTTGGGCGACAGGAGGCGCAGCAGCGCCTCCTCTGCCAGCAGCGTGGCATGCCGGTTGCACTCCCCCAGCGCTGCCAGTGAGGTCGTTTTTGAGACGCCTCAAAACGACCCCAATGTCAGCGTGGCATGCCGGTTGCACTCCCCCAGCGCTGCCAGTGAGGTCGTTTTTGAGACGCCTCAAAACGACCCCAATGTCAGCGTGGCATGCCGGTTGCACTCCCCCAGCGCTGCCAGTGCGGTCGTTTTTGAGACGCCTCAAAACGACCCCAATGTCAGCGTGGCATGCCGGTTGCACTCCCCCAGCGCTGCCAGTGAGGTCGTTTTTGAGACGCCTCAAAACGACCCCAATGTCAGCGTGGCATGCCCGTTGCACTTCCCCAGCGCTGCCAGTGCGAGAAGTGACTGCAGGCCTCCCATCGCCATCACCTGGAGGGGGGGAGGGGAAGGGGGAGGGGCGGGGGGAAGGGGGTGTTCGCAGCAAAGCCTCCTCCGCCAGCAGCGTGGCGTTTGAGTCGACTCAAAAGTCACAGCGTGGCGTGCCGGTTGCACTCCCCCAGCGCTGCCAATGCTAGTAATGATTGCAGACCACCCAATGCCATCACCTGGTGTGTTGTGGAGGTTGGGAGGGGCGGAGAAAGGGGTGGAGACGGAGTGGATAGGGGTGGAGAGGGGAGGAGGGGGAAAGGGAGGAGGGGGGGATTGGGCGACTCAGAAAGCATGCCCTTGTGGTGCAGTACACAAGGGGGGGAATTAGGGCTCTGGCAGACAGGCGCAGCACCTTGTGGTGCAGTGCAGAGAGCGCAATAATGGGTACGGTTGGGTCACATCCTCCTGGCCGATAATGGGAGGGCTCAATATGGAGCCATTGGCTCCATCACTCGCACGCACGCACATAACACACGCTGAAGAGGACAGACGCATCCTCAGCTCCTTCTCTCCAAACACACTCGCGTCTGTCCCCCTCTCCCACCCCTTCCTCATCCTTCCCGTCCCCCTCCTCATGCCCATCCAACCCACCTGCTGTAGTTCTCGCAGGTACAGCGCCGGCGCCGCCACCTCCTGTATCTGTGCGGACAGACCCTTCCCGCCCCCCTCATCCTAAACAACACGAGTTGATGGAAGTAAGGCCTCCGCAGCCCACCTGTCCTCTCTTGACAGCTCCTGTGCAGACAGACCCTTCCCGCCCCCCTCCTCATGTTCATCCAACCCACCTGTCGCTTGTTCTTGCAGTGAATCGCCAGGTACCAAAACGCCCGTGCTGCCAGGCGCTGCGCTGCACGTGATTGAAGACGTGTTTTGAGACGTCTCAATCACCAAAACACTTCTTCAATCACCAAAACGCCCTTGCTGCCAGGCGCTGCGCTGCGCGGCGCTGCACTGCACCTCATGATGTTGTGATTGCGCCATGGCAATAATAGACCACAGCCCCTCCTCCCTTATCACTCCATGCAGAATCACCTTATCGCCCAAGCACGGACAAACCCTTCAGCCCCGTCGAACCCTGCCCCACCACACACCCACCTGTCGCTTGTTCTCGCAGTGAATGGCCAGATACCAGAAGGCCCGTGCTGCCAGCCTCTGCACCTCGTGGTGCTGCGACTGAGCCATGGCGATAATCGACCACAGCCCCTCCTCTCTTATCACTCCGTTCAGAATCACCCCGTCGCCCAGCAGGCTCTGCAGCGCCGACGCTGCCACCTCCTGAATCTGCGCCTCGGCGGCGCACGACGCGTTGCACAAGAGACGAAGCCCGCCCTCCACTGCGACCTGCAGCCGCAGCTCCGGGTTGCGGCAGAGGGCAGCGAGCGCGGCGATGGCAGCTTCCAGGATGTTTCCTGCCTCCATGGCGCAGATTTCCAGCACCTCCTTTAGACCTCCTCTTTGAAGCATCTGATTGGTGGGGAGAACAGGGAGGGGGGAGAGGGGAGGGAGGGGGGGAGGGAGGGAGAGGTGGGGGTAGGGGGGCAGTTGGGTGAGGATGGGAAGGGAAGAAGAGTCACCTCAATGGTGGGAAGAAAAGAGAGAAGCGGGGAGGGGGGGGTAAGGGGAGGGGAAGCATCTGATTGGCGGGGAGCAAAGAGGAGGGGAGTGTGGGTGAGAGGGTAGCCATTGCGAGTAAAGGCCGCCTTCCTGCAAGCCATCCCTCTCTCATTCCCTCACCACACTCCCTCTTCCCTCAGCACCAACCCTCCCCACACATTCACAAACACACTCACACCACATCTTCGCTTCCTCCTCTCTCTCCACTCCACCCCTCCGCTGGTCACCTCTCCCTCTCACCTCCTCCTGGCTGCTGGTCTCCACACACACAGCAGCCAGTGCTCTGAGAGCCATCTCCCTCAGCTCCACTGTGAAATGCTCCCCTGCCCGCACCAGCGGCAGCAGGCGCGGCAGCACGTCCCGGCCTAGAGCAGGCAGGCGGTGGCGCTTCAACCCACACAGCCGCCACAAGGCCTCACATGCCAGTGCCTGGGTCTCCACTGCCTGCTTGGCGGAAGGGGGGAGAGAGGGGCAAGAGAGGGGCAAGAGAGGGGCAAGAGAGGGGCAAGAGAAGGGGCAAGAGAGGGGCAAGAGAGGGGCAAGAGAAGGGGCAAGAGAAGGGGCATGTCAAACAGGCAGCACATCCCATCCCAGGGCTGGCAGGCAGTGGCACTTCAACCCACACAGCCGCCACAAGGCCTCACATGCCAGTGCCTGGGTCTCCACTGCCTGCTTGGGTGGAGCAAGAAGAGGGCAGAGCAAGAAGAGGGCAGAGCAAGAAGTGGGTAAGAGAGGGACACGACGCAGCACACGGAGAGAAAGCGGGAGGCGGTCAGGTTGAAAGTGGAGCAAGAGAGGGGAAGGGAGGGGAAAGGAGGGGGGGGGGGGGGGGGGGGGGGGGGGGGGCGAGGTGTGGTGAGATACGGTGAGGTGCAATGAGGTGCGGTGCGGAGCGGTGAGCACACAGCCGTACCTGCAGCGAGTTGTCGCTCATGACAAGGAGGTCAACCAATGAGAGCACGCCAGCTGTGCTGAACTCCTCCACCACCTCCGGCAGCACTGAGAGCTTTGCAATGGCGTCCACCGCTGCCTTGGTGCCCTGATTGTGGGGAAGGGGGAGAGGGTTTAGGGAGGGGAGGATGGAAGGGTGACTTGAGAGTTGACTCAAGGCTTCTCGACCACCTCCGGCAGCACTGAGAGCTTTGCAATGGCGGCCACTGCTGCCTTGGTGCCCTGAAATGGGGAGGAGAAAGAGGATGGGGGGGAGAGGGGAAGGGGGAGGGTGGGGGGTAGGAGGCGGTGACTCAGGGGTCGAGGTGGATGTTCCACGACTCACAACTCCACCACCTCCGGCAGCACTGAGAGCTTCGCAATGGCGGAAGACGGGGGGATGGGAGGAAGAGAGGGACAGGGGAAGGGGGAGAGGGGGGGAGCACCAGCATTGAGAGCTTGGCAGTGGCATCGCTTATTCAGAATCTGGTGAGCTCACCCGCTCATATCCTCCCACAGTACAGCATATTCAATGAGTTCACTCACTCGCTCACTCATGTACTTACCCACCCACTCACTCACCCACTCAGTCACTCACCCACCCACTCACTCACCCACTCAGTCACTCACCCACCCACCCACTCACCCACTCACTCACTCACCCACCCACCCACTCACCCACCCACTCACTCACCTACCCACTCACTCACTCACCCATTCCCCCCCCCTCTCAATCACCAACCCACTCACTCACTCACCCACTCACTCACTCACCCACCCACTCACTGACCCACTCACCCACCCACTCACCCACCAACTCACTCGCCCACCCACTCACTCGCCCGCCCGCTCACTCACTCACTCACTCACTCACTCACTCACCCACTCACCCACTCACCCACCCACTCACTTACCTACCCACTCACTCACCCACCCACTCACCCACCCACTCACTCGCCCACCCACTCACTCGCCCACCCACTCCCTCACCCACTCGCTCACTCACTCACTCACTCACCCACTCGCTCACTCACTCACTCACTCACTAACTCACCCACTCGCTCACCCACTCGCTCACTCACTCACTCACTCACCCACTCACTCACTCACTTACTCACTCACTCACTCACTCACCCGGTCATATCCGCCCACGATTGCTGCCTCGATGGGCTCCAAAAATCCCGCAGAATAGACAAACTGGCGGTTGGCGTCTGGCTTGCAGAGGGCGGCAACCGCCCGCATGGCTGCCGCCCGCTGGTCGGTGCGCTTGGAGAGGGCGAGAGGCATGAGAGGGAGCAGATACTTGGCACTCGAGATTTGAAGCATGTCTGATTGGGGGTGGGAGGGGAGAAGGAGTGGGGGACGAAAGGGAAAGGTAAAAAAGATGAAGGGGAAGCGTAAATAGGTTATGTGTGAGAGGTGTAAATAGGTGATGTGTGAGAGGTCTAAATAGGTGATGTGTGAGAGGTGTAAATAGGTGATGTGTGGGACAAGGGGGGAAGGGAAAGGGGGGGAGGGGCGAAAGTGGGTGGAGGTAAATGTAGGGAATGATTCAGCCAGCTAAGGTTATGAGAGGGTCACAAAGACAAACACTCAAGTCGTTTCAAACTGTAAGGAGAAAGTTCAGTGGCAGGGTTGTAGCAGCAGCATACCTGCTTCTCTGTACATGGCTGTGTTCTCAAGCCACTCGAGCCCAACTCCTGCCCTTCCCTGTCCCGCCCCTCCCTCTAGCTGCCAGCAGCCTGAAACCAAGAAGTAGCATACCTGCTTCTCTGTACATGGCTGTGTTCTCAAGCCACTCGAACCCAAACTCCTGCCCTTCTCTGTCCCACCCCTCACTGTCCCGCCCTTCCCTGTCCTTCTCTGCGCATTCCCTACCTGCCTCTCTGCACACGCCATACCTGCTTCTCTGTACATGGCTGTGTTCTCAAGCCACTCGAGCCCAAACTCCTGCCCTTCTCTGTCCTTCTCGCCACTTGCCACCTGGGCAATAGCGCGATACACGGAGCGGTCTGGCAGCGCCAGCTCCACTAGAGGGTTCAACGCTCCCATCAGAATGGTCTTGTAGCTAGTGGGGGGGGGAGGGGGTTGGGGGGGAGGAGGGGGATTCGAGGGAGTAGAGGGGAAAAGAAGGGGTTGGGAGTGGTGGGAATGCATCTAGTCATGGCACAACACCCACCACGGCGCCACCTGGGCAACGGCACGATACACGGAGCGGTCTGGCAGCGCCGACTCCACCAGCGGGTTCAACGCTCCCATCAGAATGGTCTTGTAGCTGGTGGGGGTGAAGGGGAGAAGGTGGGGAGAGGGGAGAGAAGAGAGAGAGGGGAGGGCGGGGGTGGGATAGTGTTGGCTGCTTCACGACCCGTCACAATACAGCACTTCTCACCACCTAAGCCATCATGCCACCATGCCAATTGACCACAACCCACTCTCGTCAGGCGCTCCCACCCCACCCTTCCCCTCATTCAAAACAGCAAGCGTACCCGCGGCGGGACTTGAGCTTGGTGTCGAGGTGGGAGCGGTGGGTGGAGACGCGGTTGAGCGTGGAGAGTGACTGCACCACAATGTGTGAGTCCACTGTCGACTGCCGGAAGAGTGATGGCAGCCTCATGGCTCGTGACGCCGTGCGCACGTATCTGATCAAGTGAGGGGAAGGGTGGGGCAGGGGTGGGGAGGAGGGGATAGGGAAGGATGGGGAAGGATGGGGAAGGATGGGGAAGTGTGGAGAGTGACTGCACCACAATGTGTGAGTCCACCGTTGACTGCTGGAAGAGCGATGGCAGCCGCATGGCGCGCGATGCTGTTCGCACGTATCTGCGGTGGGGGAGGGGGGAGCGAGACGGGGTAACAGAGGAGGTGGGGGATAGGAAAAGGTGGGTAAGGGAGCGACTGCACCACGATGTGCTAGAGAATTCTCAAAAGCGATGTGCGAGTCCACCGTTGACTGCCGGAAGGGCGATGGCAGACGCACATATCTGTCCTCGTGATGCTCGTGATGCTGTGCGCATGCGCACGTGGAGGGGAGAGCGGATGACAGCTTTAAATAGCAGTCACTTGTCACATTTAAGCCCACCTCACCTATGGATGACGCGCACTTCCTTGCGCAGCTGGCGCGGGTGCGGAGTGGTGAAGAGCTGCTTGGGCGTGCGGCCAAACTCCCTCATCTGCACTGTGAGCGCCTGCTGCACTGTGTCGTCCTCCACTGACGCCAGCACCTGATGGTGAGATGAGATGGGAGAGAGGAGGGGAGGACGAGAGAGGAGCAGGGGGGTGGTAAGCCCAAGAGAGAGCTGCTTGGGCGTGCGGCCAAACTCACTCATCTGCACCGTCAGCGCCTGCTGCACTGTGTCGTCCTCCACTGATGCCAGCACCTGATGGTGAGATGAGATGGGAGAGAGGAGGGGAGGACGAGAGAGGAGCAGGGGGGTGGTAAGCCCAAGAGAGAGCTGCTTGGGCGTGCGGCCAAACTCCCTCATCTGCACCGTCAGTGCCTGCTGCACTGTGTCGTCCTCCACTGATGCCAGCACCTGGTGGTGGGTGGGGTGGCAGAAGAGGAGGTAGCGGAAGGTGCAGAGGAGGAGAAGTAAGTGGAGGCGGAGGAAGTAGTGGAGGCGGAGGTGGAGGCGGAGGCGGAAGGGGAGGAGGAGGAGGAGGGGGAGGAGGAGGAGGAGGAGGAGGAGGAGGAGGAGGAGGGAGGAGGAGGAGGAGGAGGAGGAGGAGGAGGAGGAGGAGGAGGAGGAGGAGGAGGAGGAGGAGGGGGGTGGGGGGGGGGGGAGAGGAGGTGGGAAGGAAGGAGGTGCAGGGGAAAATGAGCAACGTGCAACAGACTGCAGCTCTACAGCATGACCCTGACGCAATGCATAATAAAGCGAGTAGCATATATCGAGTACGCACCTGAGCGCCTATGTCATCGTAGGTGAGGGGGTGGAAGACATTGTCCGCCTCTATTGCCACTGTAGAGTGGAGAGTACACATACACCTGAGAATACCTTTTTTTAGGCATAGCCCCTAGCTTATATCGAGTACGCACCTGAGCGCCTATGTCATCGTAGGTGAGGGGGTGGAAGACATTGTCCGCCTCTATTGCCGCCTCGCCCCTCTGCTTGCAGCCAAACACCAGGTTGATCCAATGGTGCAGCCTCTTTGACACGTAGCTGGTGGGGGGGAGGGGTTGAGGAAGGCAGGGGAGGTGGAGATGGGGAAGCATTGTCCGCCTCTATTGCCGCCTCGCCTCGCTGCTTGCACCCAAACACCAGGTTGATCCAATGGTGCAGCCTCTTTGACACGTAGCTGGTGGGGGGGAGAAGGGGAAAAGGCAGGTGGAGGTGAGGGGAGGTGGGGTGTGGAGGAGAAAGAGGAGGGGAGAAGGGCATGAAATGTAGTTTGCAGCCAAACACCAGGTTGATCCAATGGTGCAGCCTCTTTGACACGTAGCTGGTGGGAGGGAGAGGGAGTAAGAGGAGGACAGAGTTGCACAAACGCTGCTTGCAATGCAACCCGCCACCAGGCCACTCTTGTTTTGAGACGTCTCAAAACAACCCACCACCAGGCCACTCTTGAGAATTCTCAAAAAGCTATGAGGCTGGGTCAAAGACACTGGAGCAAGAGAGAAGAATGGAAAAAAAAGGGCAAGGCAGGGAGGGGGAGCGGGGAGTGGGGATAGCGGAGGTGGAAACAAGCACAGGCACTTACGGGCACTCTAGCGCTTGGCGCATCTTGGCGGCAAAGTCGTGCGCATCGCTGGCCCAGGGCGGCAGCACCACATCTCCCACCGGAACCCCGTCCTGCTTCACTCCCAGGTCTAGCCCTTGTGAGTTGAGCAGGAAGGACGTGGAGAGCGAATAGAACTCCTGTGGCACGGGGATGGGAGGAGGAGAGAAGGGGAGCATAGATTCGGTCAACTGAAAAGACAGTCGGTTTCAACCCCAGGAGTGAGTTGAGCAGCAGAAACGGCATGGAGAGGAATGGAACTGCTGTGGATTGGTATGGTGCAGTGCAGTGCAGGCACAGAGGTCGTTTTTGAGGCGCCTCAAAAGTCACCTTGCAGGCAGGCACAGAGATGGCATGGGTGCAATACAAGCAAGCAGCAGTGTGAGTACTTTTGAGGCGCCTCAAAAGAGATGACAGTGCAGTGCAAGGGTGCAGTGCAAGCAAGCAGCAGTGAGTGTGAGTGCTTACTGGAATGAGCTCCTTGAGGTCTGATGGGTTGTTGTACGCCCCCTCCCACATCTAATACAAGACATATGCCATGCAACGGACACACGCACGCAGCACAGATGAACACGCACCCACACGTCCACACATGTCCCCCCACATTCCCATGTCCACACAGTCACGAACACAAAAGAAAGAGCTTCTTGAGGTCAGGTGGGTTGCGAGCACACACACAACTGCCACTTCACCCCGCTCCCCGTTTCCCCCCCTCGTCCCCCTCTCCCCTCCCCGTTTTCCCCCCTCGTCCCCCTCTCCCCTCCCCGTTTTCCCCTTTCCCTTCTTTCCCCGCCCCTACCAGCTGCGCCCCTACCAGCTGCGCCCCCTACCAGCTGCGCCCCTACGAGCACGCCTCACACACCTCGGGAACGGAAGAGAGGAGGCGGTCGGGCATGTCGAATCGCCCGTTCTGCAGGCGCAGCATGAGCTGGGGGGCGTCCCCAGCACGTGCCCTCATTCCCCAAACCTCTGGGAACCCACTCCCCCCTCCCTGCCACCACCCCTCCTTACCTCGGGGATGGAGGAGAGGAGGCGGTCGGGGCATGTCAAATCGCCCGTTCTGCAGCCTTAGCATGAGCTGGGGGGCGTCGCGCACGCGCACATACACCACGTAGCCGGGCGTTGAGTAGTGGCACCCGTACAGGAACGCGGGGGACGGCGTGCCCGGCACGTGCGGCGGCACCTCGCCTTCCGGGAAGTTTCCCGCCCACTCCTCATAGAGCTCTGCCAGGTCATCGTAGCGCTGGCGGAACTTCTCCAGGCGCTCGGGGTTGAGGGCGCCCACGGGCTGAGGAAGGGGTGTGAAACGGATGTGCAAGGGGTGAAAGGGGTGTAATTGGGTGGAAAGGGCTCGTAAAGCTCTGCTAGGTCGTCGTAGCGCTGGCGGAACTTCTCCAGGCGCTCGGGGTTGAGGGCGCCCACGGGCTGACAGTGAGGGAGAGAGGGATATGCAAAGGGGTGAATGGAGGTTCGAAGCGGTGGTGGGGGGGTTAACAGGACGACATCATATAGCATGCATTTTCCTGATTGCCTTTTCCACCTGGCACATGTCTCACCTGCCGCATCTTTCACCTGCTCTTTCACCTGCCGCATCTTTCACCTGCCGCATCTTTCACCTGCCGCATCTTTCACCTACCGCATCTTTCACCTGCCGCATCTTTCACCTACCGCATCTTTCACCTGCCGCATCTTTCACCTGCCGCATCTTTCACCTACCGCATCTTTCACCTGCCGCATCTTTCACCTGCCGCATCTTTCACCTGCCCCATCTTTCACCTGCCGCATCTTTCACCTGCCGCATCTTTCACCTGCCGCATCTTTCACCTACCGCATCTTTCACCTGCCGCATCTTTCACCTGCCGCATCTTTCACCTGCCGCATCTTTCACCTACCGCATCTTTCACCTGCCGCATCTTTCACCTGCCGCATCTTTCACCTGCCGCATCTTTCACCTGCCCCATCTTTCACCTGCCGCATCTTTCACCTGCCCTGCTCTTACCTTGCGCAAGTCTCGGAAGGTGGCTGGGGAGGTAAGGTCCAGCTCCCTGGCACAAGGGACCACAATAGGGCAATGGGACAGGGGGAGGGCGAGAGGTGGGGGGGTAAGGTCCAGCTCTCTGGCACAAGGGACCACAATAGGGCAATGGGACAGGGGGAGGGCGAGAGGTGGGGGGGGTAAGGTCCAGCTCTCTGGCACAAGGGACCACAATAGGGCAATGGGACAGGGGGAGGGCGAGAGGTGGGGGGTGAGGGGGGCGGCGAGTCGTGTGAATTGGAGGGACGTGTATGTGTAGGAGGGCAGGTGATTGTTAAAAGCATAGGAGGTGTGAGTGGGAGGGGTTAGATGTGTGTGAATTAGCGAGACGTGTGACATGGGTATGTTTTGAGTCGACTCAAAAACACACGTGCGACATGGGTGTGTTTTGATTCGACTCAAAACACACGTGCGACATGGGTGTGTTTTGAGTCGACTCAAAACACACGTGCGACATGGGTGTGTTTTGAGTCGACTCAAAACACACGCGCGACATGGGGAAGAGCAGCAGATGGAGGAAGAAGAGAGAAGGGAGGGCGATGGGAACAGGAGGGGGAGGGGAAGGGAGAGGGGGAAGAGAAGGGGGAGGGGGAGGGGCAAGGGGAGGGAGAGGGGGAAGAGAAGGGGGAGGGGGAGGGGCAAGGGGAGGGATAGGGAGCGTCACCCGCAGGGGAAACGAGAGAGCCCACACGTACTTGGAGGTATAGTCGGCAATAACCCAGGGGAAGACGGGGTATTGCGAGAGGTCGTTGAAGGAGCGGTTGGCCTCGCGGTTGAGGTACATGAGGTAGTCGAAGTTGGAAATGCCGCCACTCACCCAGTCCCTCACCCACTTGTCCTGACTGCGCATGCTCTCTATTGACAGCCCGGGCTGGGGGTGAAAAGAAAAAGAGAAGGGAGGGATAGGTGGGAAAGGGAAGGAGAGAACAGGAGGCTTAACAATCGTCTCTCACCCACTTGTCCTGACTGCGCATGCTCTCTATTGACAGCCCGGGCTGGATGGAAGAAGGGAGGGGTGGGAGTAGAGGGGAGAGAGAGAGAAGAATAGGGGTATGGAAAGGAGGAAAGGGGAAGCTCAAAGGCGCCTCGACAATCATCCCGCGCCCTCCAGCTGTCCTGCACCGACGTGTACCAACTGCGCATGCTCTCGATGGACAGCCCGGGCTGGAGGGCGGAAAGAGGAGGGAGGAAAGAGGAGGGAGGAAAGAGGAGGGAGGAAAGAGGAGGGAGGAAAGAGGAGGGAGGAAAGAGGAGGGAGGAAAGAGGAGGGAGGAAAGAGGAGGGAGGGAAAGAGGAGGGAGAAAAGAGGAGGGAGAAAAGAGGAGGGAGAAAGAGGAGGGAGAAAAAAGAGGGGGAGAAAGAGGAGGGAGAAAAGAGGAGGGAGAAAAAGAGGAGGGAGAAAAGAGGAGACAAGGGGTAGAATAGGAGGGAAGGAGGGTGGCATGAAAGCCTAAAAAACTATTTCGAGAGAGAACAGAACAGTGAGGGGTGAAAGGGGCGATTTCTTAAATGAAGTACCCCAAAGCAGCAGCTAACAGAACTTGGAAGAGTCTTGGGCTGGCCATCTAGCCTAAGCACAATCTGAAAGTTAGCGTTCCGGGACGCCGCGAAGCAGATAAACAGGACCCTCACAAACTCGTGTGACATTGTAGCGAGTTGATTTTTGAGTCGACTCAAAAGTCAACTTTTGAGTCGAATCAAAAGTCAGGACGCCACGAAGCATATAAACAGGACCCTCAAAGTCTCACCTGCTGCAGCAGCAGTGAGTAGAAGCGGGAGCAGTCCTGGGTTGACTTGAACGTGAAGTAGATGCTGCCATGCCAGGGGAGCAGATGGAGAAAGGAGGGGGGCGGAAGAGAGGGAGAGGGGGCGAGGGATGAAGCCATGACTTATCAACACAACCCTTGGCTGACTTGAACGTGAAGTAGATGCTGCCAGGGGGAGGAAGAAGGAGCGAAGAGGAGATTGGCGGTACAGTGTGCAATGATGTGGAGGGGGGAGAATACTGTACAATACAATGATGTGCGCAATACAAACAGCAATGATGTGCGCAATACAAACAGCAATGATGTGCGCAATACAAACGCGCAATACAAACAGCAATGATGTGCGCAATACAAACAGCAATGATGTGCGCAATACAAACAGCAATGATGTGGAAACGAGGGGAAGACGGGATTGGGCCGTACAGACATCAATAATGGGGAAGGGTGGGGAAGACGGCATGGTAAAGTGTGGGGTGGGAAGGGGTGGGGAGAAACAGATACAGAGGAGAGGGGTGAATAAGAAGGGAAAACGAGCAAGCAGGGGGCGGAGGGGAGGAGGGAGTCACCTGGACCATTGTGAGTAGAAGATCTCCACTCCAATCTGCACAGGGGAGAGATGGGTGGAGATGGGTGGAGATGGTTGGCGATGGGTGCGATGGGTGCGATGGGTGCGATGGGGGGGGGGAGATGGGCCTGATGGCAGCAAGGGGGAGGGGAATGGAAGAAAGAAAGCATTTCATTTTGTGGCATTTACACATGGAGGGATGGAAGGTGGAGTATAAAGGAGCACAGGTAAGGCATTTACACCAGGTAAGCACAGGTAAGGCATTTACACCAGGTAAGCACAGGAGCTCGAAAGGTGTAGCTAGCTCACCCCGACCAATGAGACCACCCAGCAAGCTCAAAACGATGAGGAGGCCAATTCTCAACAGCTCGCTCACCTCTTGGAGATGCGTCGACCGCCTCATGACAGCCGTGACCGTTCTTAGTGGGTGCCGCATGACAGGAACAGAGGAGACGACGTTGAAGGGCTGGAAATAGACGCCGTAGGGCGTGAGGATGATGCGGCCCGGCTGCAGCACGAGCGGCAGAGAGGAATCCAGTGTGTGCCCCTCTACCCCTCGCTCACCTCTTGGAGATGCGTCGACCGCCTCATGACAGCCGTGACCGTTCTTAGTGGGTGCCGCACCACAGGAACAGAGGAGACGACGTTGAAGGGCTGGAAGTAGACGCTGTAGGGTGTGAGGATGATGCGGCCCGGCTGCAGCACGAGGGGCAGCATCTGCGACCCCACCAGCTCCGCCACCACCCTGTCATCCCCCTCCTCGAGCCACCCCGGGTTGAAGCGCACCTGGTGGGGGGGGGGAGGGGGGGGGAGCAGGTGGGTGGGAGGGCAAAGAGATAGGTTGGGTGGGGAAAGACAAGGAGACCAGCTCCGCCACCACCCTGTCGTCCCTCTCCTCCAGCCATCCCGGGTTGAACCTCACCTGGTGGTGACAAGATTGGTGGGGAGAGGGAAGGAGATGGGTGGGTGGGCAAAGAGATAAGGCGGGTGGGGAGAAAAGAGGGCACCAGCTCTGCCACCACCCTGTCGTTCCCCTCCTCCAGCCACCCCGGGTTGAAGCGCACCTGGTGGGGTGGAGGGGAGGGGAGCAGGAGAGAATGTGCATGGGGAGCGAACAGAAGGTGGGTAAGGGTGGAGACCAGCACCGCCACCGCCCGCACAGAGTCACTCCCTCCCTCCCTTACTCCCTCACACGGTTCCTCACTCCCTCCCACACTCCCTCACTCCTTCCCTCCCCCACTCCCCCACTCTTTCCCGCAGCCCGCACCTCCTACTCGTGCTCTTGCACAGAAGCACTCAGCTTGCCCGGCTGCTCCCACGACGACCCCTGTGGTGGCGGCCTTTCAGCCGCATACAGACTCACTCACTCCCTCCCTCACTCACTCCCCCTTTCCCTTCCCCCCATCCTCACCTCCTGCTCGTGCTCCTGCACGATCGCACTGAGCTTGCCCGGCTGCTCCCAAGAGGGCCCCTGGGCGATGTCAAGCAGAGCGGACACGCGCGGCAGCACCGCCGCCAGCGACGTGTACAGCAGCGCAAAGGCAAAGGCAAAGTCGCCGCGGTGGTGGCGGTAGGGCGCGTGGCGGTTGCCCACCTTCACGTCTGTGCGCTCACTCGCACAGATTATCAAAACTCCTCGCCCTTCTCCCCCCCCATGTGCGACGCTCTGGGGGAAGGAGGGGAGAGGGAGAGAGGGAGGGGTCCGGGAAGGGAACAGTAGGAGGGGGGGACGGGAATGGGAAGAGCGGGATAAGAGGTGTTGGTGTTGATTTTGGGAAGGAGGGTGCAGCGCAAAGGCAAAGGCAAAGTCGCCGCGGTGGTGGCGGTAGGGCGCGTGGCGGTTGCCCACCTTCACGTCTGTGCGCTCACTCGCACAGATTATAAAAAAATCCTCGCCCTTCTCCCCCCCCATGTGCGACGCCCTGTGTGGGGGTGGTGGTAGGTGCGAGGGGAGGGGGGGTTGCGGAGGGGGGAGGGGCGATCCGTGAAGGGAACGGGAGGAGGGAGAGACGGGAGTAGTGGGAGGCGGGGGAGGGGAGAGAGGGAGAAGAGAGGTTGTGTTGAACTACACACCCACATGCATACCGAACCACCCACATGCACGCCGAACCACACACATGCCCACACACGCTCCAGAGTGCTCTTGGGCACAAAGAATATTGACGCACTGCACAGCTTCAGGTGCCCCAAAACCCGCGTTTTTATCCACACCTGCACTCACATACACTCAGACCCTCACACATGCCATGCCCGGTGCCCACACCCACCTGTCAACAGCCGACACGCAGCCGAAGGGAATGCGGAAGACGGGCTCGAGAGTGCTCTTGGGCACAAAGAATATCGACGCACTGCACAGCTTCAGGTGCCCCGGCACCCGCTGCGTGCCACCATTAGGGTAATAATCACACGCATAGTCCTTAAAATAGTACTCCCCTTCCTCTAGCAGCAGCAAATTAAACCTATCCGGACCTTCTATGACTAGTTTTTGGCTGTTTTGATCCCCGCCTTTGCCCCCCCCTGCTCCTCCGCCTCCCTCCCCCGCACCTCCGCCCTTTCCCCCGAACAACCCCCTGCCCCCGCCCCGTGCAACATCCGGGACAGCATGCGCGCGCTGCTTCCGCCCTTCCCCCCCCCCCCGCGCCTCCCGCTGCGCCAGTGCCTTCTTTCCGCCTAGGACTCGGCATCCCCTTTACAGTGATCTTCCTGCGCCGGGGGGAAGCATATTTCGGCAAGGGCGGGGTCCCCGTGGGCCGTTCCGCCCCCGCAGCTCCCCCCCACCCGCTCCCCCTGATCCCCCGAACCCCCCAAGCCCGCGGAACCCGCTTCCCCCGCCTACGCTGCGCGTGCTGCTGCTTCCGCCGTCGCTAGGCGTGGGGAGGGGGAGATCATCCGCTCCCCCTCCCCCTTCGGGGGGAATCTCTACATACAGTTGCTCGGCTCTCATTCTCCGTCGCTGCTGCTGCTGCTGCCGCCGCTGCCACCCATCCCCTCCACTCAACCCATCCTCACTCCCTCCTATGCCTTCTGACTCCTCCCCATCGGTCCCCTCCGTCCCCTCAGTACCCTCCTCTCCCTCCTCTCCCTCCTCCCTTTCATCTATGCTCGATTCTGACTGGGAGTGGTGGTACCTCAACGGACTGGATTGCATCAGGGGACTCCCAGAGTGCATCGACGGACTGGATTGCCTCAGCGGGCTACTAGAGTGCATCAACGGTCCAAATTGCTTCAGCGGACTGCCAGAAAACAGCCGCCCGCCTCGCTCCTGCTCCTTCTGCTTCTTCTGGTGCCGCCCCAGCATCTGCCACTGCTGCTGCTGCCCCGCCTGCTGCCCCTCTTCCTCCTCCTGCTCCTCCTTCTCCTCCTCCTGCTCTTGCAAATTATGCTGTTGCTGCATCTGCTGCTTCTGGTCCTTTCCAGCCTTCCTCTGCTTCATCATCTTAAAAATTGACATCTTCCCAACCGCCTCCAGCCCTGACCGAGGTTTTCCCACCGGTTCTGACTCTGACCGCGGGATTTCCATGGAGTGGCCAACTCCCGCGCCCTCCGACTCCCCCTCCCCCTCTTCCCCTCCCCCCTCCTCTCCCTCCGCCTCCTCCGCTTCTTCCGCCTCCCCCGTTTCCGCCCTCCCCCTCTGCTCCTCGCCCCGCCCCTCACCCGCACTACCACCAACGCCACCATCAGCAGCAGCGCCCCCAAATGCTTCCCCGGACCCCACGCTCCCGCTGCTAGTCCGCCTGCCGCTCCTTCTCCGCCTGTGCTGCTTCTTCCCCTCGCTACTATCACCTCCTCCCTCCTCCTCTACCTGACGCAGCGCCTGCTGAATGTTCCACGCTGGCGCTGACGTGGTCCTACTCAGCCGTCTCAATCCCCCAATCCCCATGCCCCCGCTTCCATCAGCGCCCGCGCCCGCGCCTGCGCCTGTGCCTGCGCCGAGCCCCACTCCCCCGCTTCCGATCAGCCCAAACAGCCCCCTCCCGCTATCGGCGCAGTCCCCGCTCCCCCCCATGACCCGATGCCTACCCCTCTGCGCCCAGAGCACCCGCTAAACACGGGAGAGTTCCCTTCCCCTTCCCCTACACGTTCCCCCTCCCCCTGCGCTTCCGCGTCGGCGGAAGAGATGGAAGCGGAAATGCTCTCGTCTCCGCCCAACGATCGGCGGAAGAAGAAAAAGTTCGGGCTGGGAGTGCGCCGGAGGGGGCGCAAGGGGGAGGAGGAGGAGAAGGGGGAAGCGAAGGTGCGGGGGGAAACGCCCACTCCGCCCCTGGTATCGGCAATCCCGGCGGAAAGACTGGTATCCCTGGCATGCCGGACAAGGCCTGCGCTGGCTCCGGTTCCCGCGCTGTGCACGCCGACGGAGGCGGAAGCGGACTCGGGGGGATCTTGTAGCTCCTCCGGATGACTGGAACTGGCGGACGCGCAGGGGGAAGACGACGTGGTTCCCCCTTGACTCCCCCCATGCCCTCCGCCGGCGCTCCCCCATGGTCCCAGCGGGGGCAAGCGCGCAGTAGCAACGCCTTTCTCCGACGACGATCGGGGGAAGAAGGATCGGCGGGTGACAGATCTTCCTGCGGACTCCCCCGCCGTACGATGCGATCCCGAGGCCGCATCCGACGACGCTCCTTGAATCCCGGTAGCTGTTCCGGGATCACCTGTAGGTCTAGGTGGCAAATCAAAAGACCGAGGTGCGGGCCCTGTCAAGGCGGGTCCAGACGGCGCATCTAAGCACCTAGCCGCAGCAGTGGTTGGTCGGGGGGGATTGGCGGAAGCGAACCCTAATCCTGCGCAAGAGCCGGCACCACTGGCTGCGGGGTCACGAACAGACGGAGCAGCTACGGTGGGTGTTGCCGCTAGGGTTGCTGTCACGGTGTCTGCCAGTACTGCTTCTGCTGCCTCTGCTGCTGCTCGTGCCTCTCTCGTCTCAGCTTCGGACGCTCCCGACGCAGCTGCAGAGGCTCGGCTCTGCCAGCTGTTGCTTGGACCAGACTGAGGGGAAGACGGGACGGCAGCCATGGAACTGGCGAAAGTGGAGTGCGACGTGTGAGGAGCGAGTGAAACGAACAAGCGTGTCGAACTCTAGGTCTGTTCTTGCAATGTACGAGTCTGTCCTTTGAACGAGCTGGTAAGGGTCATCCTAATTGTCGCTGTCTTCGTCGTCGTCGCTTTCAAGGGAGAACATGATTAGCAAGACCCAATTGGATGAACACGACGAAAGAACGTCGAAAGGGAATACAATGGCGGTAACCAAACGATTACAGCTGAATGCACTGACCTAATGAATCGGAAACTGGAGGCAAACGCACTATGTAGTTTAGTTTGAGTTAACACATGTTTCTAGATGTCGTGCTTTGGAAACAAATGCCTATTTTATCACAAAACCTAACAAGCATTGCCAATCTGTTTCCACGTATCACGCACTACAAACCGTCGACGTGCGCTTTTGGTGAAGCTGTGTGGACTAAGATGGATAATGACGGTCGCTACCGGACAAGAGACAGTTGAGCGGGCGACATGGTGTTGACGCAAGAATAAGCAAGCATCATAATGCTCAGCCCCAGGTAGTTGCTGAAAATGAGTCAGGCGAGCGGAGCAAACAAAGCAGGCAGCCATGAGTTACGCAAAGGCACGACAGGCATCGGCCATTGCACAGTAAGAGCTGCCTTGGATGCCTCGGTTGTATCCCGAGCCGAGCCAGTATCAAAGCAGTGCCGAACCAGTGTTGAAACTGGCTTTGGAGGGCGCAAAGGGTTAGGGACGAGGTGAGGAAGGCAGGTCAACACCTCGGAGGCTGACCGAGCCAAATAATACAGCCACCCATCGCGAACAGCGGAACCCCAAGCCGAAAGATTCCATTGAAGTTGGTGCTTCACCAACCTCATTCCTTGGTTTGGTTTGGCACCATACTGTACCGGAAGGTGCGCGCTGGGTATGGTGCTTGCCTTCTCCCTCCCTTTTCCCAGCCCAGCCATCCGCCAGGCCATTCCAGTGATGCCACACTCGAGTCACCGACAAGCGAGCCTGAGGCGAGTCACTGTCGCTCGCACAGTGACCGTGCGACAGGCCTCCGCCCGCCCCCCCCCCCCCCCCCCCCCCCCCCCCTCCCTCAAAGGGAGTTTGCGAAACCGGATGGAGAAGAGTAACCAGTTTCGTCTGCGATTGGATAACCTGCGACGACTTCCTGGCACATGGAAATGACGGTAACAGGGCTGTCGATTCAAGGGCATATGGCCTTAATGCCCTGAACATTAAGGTCTGACTTTGTTCCAGGTTCCGAATTCTCAGAATTGAGTTTCTGTACAGCCCTGAATTCTAACAGGCGTGGGTAGTGCCTTCCCCTGATTCTTACAGGAGGCACTTGATGGGTTCCCTGAATCCCGGAAGTTCCGGGCCCTTCCCGGAAGCGTTCACTGCTCTTCTCATCTCCCCCCCACCCCCCCCTCCCTCCCCCTCGTGTCCCTTCCATCCCATTCCAACCCGGCAAGAAAAATAGTTTCTTTTGCTTCCAAGTTAGAGAGAACACTCGCGTGATTCGTCAGAGATGTTATCGACTGGCTGACTAATTGCTCTGCTCCCCACTTAGTAGTTTCAAAATGATAGTGGCTTCAATAGTTTACGTGATAAAGGGATACCTTACACCCTGAATTTTGAAAGGGTCTGGAAAGGCCACTTCCCTGGAATTTCAGGGCTGAAAACCGGGGACCACAGACCCTCAAGTGTTGGCCTGGAACCAATCGACAGCCCTGGACGGTAAGCGAACTTCGTCGTACTCAACGGCCAGATATATTCCAGGCTGGCGTGAAGGTTTTTTTCGGAGTTACGCGCGAATGATTGTCTTGCTCGTGATTTGTCCTGGCGTTTCTGCGGGCAAATGACAGGGAAGGGGACAAAACATGTCGAAATGCCAGACTGGAAAAACAGAACCAAACAAGCACCCAATCCGCATACGAACCGATGTACTGTACTGTAATCTGGAAAACCCCGCAAGATCAATGAACAACACTCGTCATAGCATGATGATAAGGGCCTTATGATATTTAAAACTAGCAGACCAAGAAAGCCCAAATCACTTCTGTTGAGTGTGAACCTGACACCCTTGCATACTTCGCCCCAACCAACCTTTTTAGAGGTGAACTTATTAGCCTGCAGGTTCTAAGCTATACCGTAAAACGATTTCATGCCATGACGCTTCTTTCAATGCGTCATGCAGAAACCTTGACCAGAGCAAATTAAAACCAGCAAACTAGGTACCAAGACATTCCAACACCTTGCGTGGCTTGGGGGTTGGTCCGATGTACCTGGAACGCGGAGAAAAGTGGTTCCGTGGCTCGGTTTACCGAGCCACAGCAACCAGGTGTTTATGCCTTACATGCATGTCAACTTGTCGAGGTAGGACAGAGACTACTCTTTCCAATTCTGGGGCTCCTAAACTCCCCTATGATCCGCACACCTTTAACTTCACACCCCACCCCAGCATAGCACCCTCAAACCCCTGACACCCCGGCTCACAGCAAGTCACTTGAGTCATTTGTAACCAGCCAGTCATTTCCATAACCCTTGAACCTGCCACAGATCATAACACCCCGTTTGCCCCCTCCCCTCCTTCACTGAGAGTACATTCCTGTATAGACACAAGTGTCACAAAGCTGTCATAAAACTAGTGTACCATTCTGCACCGCATTACACCTAAGAATTGAACATTTCCACCACCAAGTAAGCCACCCCTTCGCGCCCTTCAAATCCGCACTACACCATTCCGACGGTCAGTATCAAGCACACAAAGGTTCAAGGCGCTGGTTGCTTGAATATATGCACAGCATTTGCACATTGAAGGCACTTGGTTCTTTGGTGCAGAATATTACTATACCAGTCTATCTTCCTGAGCAGTCTTGATATCGATTTAAATATCGGTCCTGAACACTTCCTGCTTAAATGTTTAAATATCGATTTAAAACAACGAAATTGATTAAATTGAAATAAATCTGGAACAACTGGAATCCACAATATCCGGCGGGTCATTACACATCCGCCACATTATCCCTATAGTACAGCAACGGAGAATCACTCCAACCGAAATAGCTAAACAAGAGTACACCGTATTACACCGAGTAAATCATTTAGTAAGTGTCGAGGAACTTGCGGGGGGCAGCGGGGAGGCCACCGCCGACAGCCGAGCCCATCATGTTCATGGCGATCGACATCTCATCGTCGATCGACTCGGCGCGCTGGAAGCGGCAGAACTTGCAGTCGTTCTTGAGCAGGTCCGACACCTCGTAGTCATCCATGCCGCCGTCGATGAAACCCTCGGCGTTGTCGCCGGGAACAACCATCACACCGAGGAGGTCGCTCCACTGCAGCTTCTGCTGAGCACTGCAAAAAATACACCCAAAACCAGGGAAACCGTGAGAAGGGGGAAAAACGAGGAACAAAAAATGCAATCGAAGACCCTGCAAGAAACCGAGAGAAAGCTAAGCGCGGGGCCAAAGATGAGCGGGCTTACAGTCGGCCGGAGAAGTCGGGGCGGAAGGTCTGGCCTAGAACACCGTGCACGGCCTTGGAGAAGGACGACGAAAGCACATCCAGACCGAAGTGAACCGCTCCGTCGGTGGCGGTGCGCAGGTTCTTGACCTCGGGCCTGAGGGTCAGGCGGATGGTGGCAACGCTGCCGATCTTGACATCGTACACGTCAACGAGATCGGTACCGCTCAGCTCGCGAGCCGCCTCCCACCGGAGAGTAGCGCCCTCCCAGAGTTCGACGGTGGTGCCGGGAACGGTGATCTCGACGGGGACACCGTCGACAACAACGCGGGCGAGGTAGCCGTTGAGGTACTCGGCGTCCGCGCCGCGGCGCGCCTCGAGGACGAGCGTGTGGTGGCCGGCCATGATGCCGACGGAGCGGATCCAGGTGAGCGCCTTGACGTCGCCGTTCCAGCGGGAGTAGCGGCCGCCGAAGAAGCCGTTGAGCTGGAAGTGCGGGTCGGAGATAAGCGCGTAGTTGCGGTTAGGCTTGCCGGAGAAGTCGAAGTGGGAGCCGTCAGCGCCAGTGAAGTGAGGATCACCCTTGTTCTTGCCGTCGCAAAGCTCGCCGACGGTGAAGTTGGCGGGAACCTCGTAGTCGACGGTGCCGACGCCGCGCGCGGGCTCCATCCACTTGGAGCTGTAGCTGTGGTCGTCCTTGCACTGAAGCTTGTTGTAGCACGTGCAGATACCGCCGGTACCTTCGAGGCAAGTCTCCTCGAACATCCAGTACTTGGCCTTGTTCGCCGAGTTGAAGTTGCTGGGCAGCTTCATGTTGTACGAGTCGCAGACCTTGTAGCAATCGAGCTGGGGGGTGAGAATCTTGTCATCGGTAACATTGTCCTTCTCGTAGTTGTACATCTGACCGGGGGTGAAATAAGCCTCGAACAGGGGATCGGCAGGCTCCTTGTAAGGGTCCTTAGGGTCGGTGAACTTTCCATAGAGGAAGTTACCCGGGCCGCACACGAACTGAGGGCACACTTCGGCATACGCGACGGTGGCGAAGAGGGCAAGGCACACTAAGACGGACAGACGCGCCATTTCGAAAAGCTTGCTCTAGGGATCTACCAGTTGTGGTTTGCTAACTGTGAAATGTAAAAATGAGCAAGCTGTCTTGGTTTTGAGCTGATGAGAAGAATGGGAGCTATGAAGCTAGAAGAAGCTGACTGCTGGTGCTGGACACATTTGGGAATGCTGGAGGGTGTGGAGATAAAAGAGACGACACAGGTTCGGCGGAACAGGTTCGGTCTCTGCTGGGATTGCTGGAGCTGCTGCTGCCGTTCCGCCTGACAGGAGACGACGTTGGGTAGGGTTGGGACATGGAACACGGGTGGTGGGGGGGATTGTGGGTGAGAAGGGTCATCGTGTTGCTGAAACCACCTGAGCGGATGAACGACAAGTGAGAAGGTGAAGATTTCCTAACCTGGATGCAACAGTCTCGCGGACCTTGTTCGGGAGTTGTGTGGTGAAAAGAGCGTGCAGGTAGGATTTCAGGTGAAACCTTGTGAACATGGGATTACTGTAACGGGCTGTTCGCGCGATGATCACCTGAATGCGGAACGTAGGGAGGGGAAGCGACAAATTATTTCGCCCAGACTTCCTATCTGAAGGTAGTTGCGGGCTGGATAGCGTGAGCGACGCGCAGAGACATTTCACGCGTGGAACAAATTCCACAACAGCAAATTACTATTTACGCATCATTATGTTTGGACATGTTTTTTTGCAGCCAACAAAACATTGTTGAAACTACAGCGCCACTAGTATTCGAAGACTGAACATACTAAATCACAATGTGAAATATACTTGTTTTAACCAGCAATTGCATATTATCTAAACCTCGCCAGCCCTTTCCAGGTTCCGATACTTGTCCTTCAAATCAACCTGCAAGAATACATGGCATTGCGACATGATCAGAACACGAACATACCAAATACCGCTTCATCGCCAGACAAAAAGCATTGATATACAAATGAGTCATATGGCAGCGTGTTATGGAAAACCATTGAATTAGACAGTCTCACATCCATGGTAAGCCTTAAGCTTCTCAAGGCGAGCCTGGTGAATCAAGGCACAGCCCCCCTAGCTTCAAACACGCTGCGTTTGAAACCCCATCCTTAAGCTATCATCAGGCTTTGGGGTGAACACACAGAATGTCATACATCAAACAGGAATGGGTCACTTGCCTGAGTCCTGCTTGCAAAGACATCGGCGTATTCGTGCATGATTGCACTCCATGACTTGCCAAACCTGCAATAGCATGCCACGCCACGCCATGCCCATGCCACGTCACGCCATGCCATGCCACACCATGCCATGCAATGCCATGCCATGCCATGCCATGCCATGCCATGCCATCCCATGCCATGCATAGCACGCACCAGGGACAGACAGGTGTTATGGGACAAACAAAACATCAACATCCCGGCGAGAGAAAGGCACGGAAAAGAAAAACGAGGAGAACAACAGAGGAGGACGACATCACCCATGGACTCACAGCATATGCTGAGACGATTTTCCAACAATATCAAAACATGTAGACAAGGAGGCACCTGAAGCTGCACCTCTCCTCATGCTCACCTCATGACGCCAATCTTGAGTGTGTCTGTCTCCTCCGCACTGAACGGCCGCTTGCGCCTCCTCAGCTTCCCAATTACGGTCACAGTTCCTCCCCGACTCACACCCTGCCCCGTACCACCCCTGGCAGCACAAGCTGCATCTCAACTGAAGCCTCACCTCATGACGCCAATCTTGAGTGTGTCTGTCTCCTCTGCACTGAACGGCCGCTTTCGCCTCCGCAGCTTCCTGGTCGGGGTCACAGTTCCTCCCCGCCTCACACCCTGCCCCGAACCCCCCCTAGCAGCAGCGCCACCATGCAGGTTGAGAGGGGAGAGGCGGGGGGCGGAGGGCGTGCGTAGGTGCACTGAGGCGGGCATGCTGGTCCGGCCATGCCGGTCGTTGGGGCCTTGGGGTTGAGCTGGCTCTGGCGTTTCCTCCAACTCCCCCCCGTCATCATCAGACCACTGCATTGCATCAGACGCGAATATGAGAATGGTGCATGAGAATAGAACATGGATGATGAATGGGACTGGACATGGGATGGTGCCACGAGGAAATTCATGTGCTGTGCCATACATACCTCTAGAATGCGTGCAGTTGGTTGAGGGTCCAACATCCTCCTCCTCCTTCCACCCCCACTTCCCTCTCCATCCTCCTCTCTCCCATCTTCACCACGCCTTCTTCTCTCACCCTCTCTTCTTCCCAGGACATCCAGCCCCGTCTCACTAGCTACTTTCCTTCCCCCTCCTTCCAGCTTTCCCTTCCCCTTCCTCCTCATACCCGCTTTACTCACCCTCCTCTCATCCCCACCCTCCTCCTCCTCCTCCTCCTCCTCCTCCTCCTCCTCCTCCTCCTCCTCCTCCTCCTCCTCCTCCTCCTCCTCCCTCCTCACCTGTTCCAAATCCACCCTCTCCTTCCTTCCTTCGCGCAAGCCTCCATTCCTAACGCGACCCCCCTTACTCCGAGCCTTATCCCGAACCTGAGCTTTGGCAGCCTCGGCCAATCGCAGCGCACCAGGCAGGGGGTCCTGCCCCACAGCTTTCAGTCTCGCACTGCTCTCTCTCAACTCACGAACCATCTGCTCCGTGTCACCATTGACAGCACCAGCAGCAGCGGCGGCGGCGCCAGGTGCTGCTTCTTCATCCTCTGCTCGGAAAAACTGCTGCTGCCGCTGTTTCTGTTGCCCCTGCTGCTCTTGTGACTGCCCCTGTTTCCGCTGCGACTGCTCCTGCTGTTGCTTCTCCTCCCTCGGTTCCTGTTGTTGAAGGGCCCCTGGAAGACACACAGAGAAGCGATGAGGATCAGGACCAAGAGTAAAAAATCACAGGCTGGAAAAGGTCCAGAAGAGTTGGCGTCAGGAGAGAAACGAACAGGGGCAAAGGGCAAAGTATAACGGACCTCGGGCCCCTGGAAGGCAAACAGAGAAGCGATGAGGATCAGCACCCAAGAAGAGTAACGTAAGCTAGAAACGGACCAGAAGGGTTGACGTCAGAAGAGAAATAGACAGGGGCATAATGCACTGACCTCGGTTCAGACCTTCAGGGAACCAGCTCCTGGTAAGATCACGTGCGGCTACAGTCACATATCCTTTAGGGCACCCGGCTTCAGTGTCACGTTCAACCCCACCAGCAAGGCCGGCACCATTGATAGTGCTAGGACCAGCAGGAGTTTCAGCACCATCACCATGCAACCCACCACCATCAGCACCACTGCTTCTCCCTCTTTCTTCTCCAGAAACAGCATTCGTCCTGATAAACACATTCCCTAAAAGCACTTGCTCTGCGATCCCGTCCAAACACGGTCGCCCGAACCGAGCCCACGAATCGTCCATGTACTTCCGAACCAACTTGGCAGCCTCGGCAACAGGGTACTTCTGTACGAGCCTATCCTGCAGGCTTTGATCGTTCGCAGCAGCCAACAGCTCCTTCCGTCGAGCCTTAAGCTCCTGCAAGTGATTTGATTCTTTTCCAACAGCTGCTGCGTCCACGTCATCATCTTCTGATTCATCGCCGCCGCCGGACCAAACCTTTTCCAAAACGTCATGGTACTGGGCAACTTCCCAGGGTTTCCCGCCAAGAAACCGAACCGCAACGGCTGTCATAACCTCTAGCACAATTTTCGGTCCTGGTGGTGGCACGAGTTTTTTTTGCTGGAGATAATCCAGAACGTTTGACAATCCGTCCGCGTCAGAAGATATCTTCTTATCAGGTGCGGGAACACCACGAACACGGTCTTTGCGGTGGGGTTTCTGGCAGCTTCGAACGTACTCTTCATCATCACAGAGTCTATCAAGCCCCAGGATAATCTGCAGAACTTTTTCCGTAACTCCGTACTTTTCTAAGTAATGCTCCATGGTTCGCAGCATGACCATCTGTTTTATCACCAGGTTGTCGTTAGGCGGAACGGCTCTTTCGGCAACCTTAGAAAGCAGGTCATTGTCCGAACAGTGGTAAAGAAGGGCTTCCCAAAATAATGCAAACAGCTGCTCCTCATACCCTTTGGCATCCGCTGTTGATGTCATTTCAGTGATAGAGTTATTCAGCGATTCTGCCTGTGAAGAAAAAAAAACCAAGTTGCAAAAGAGGAATCTCAAAAGGAATAGATGGTAACAAGCCTACTTCTTCTCGCAACCTAGCAATTAGAGCGAAGGAGCGAACACAGATCCCCTGAGTGTGGAAAGTGGTGAGATTCTATTTAGATGGGTCTGGTTTGGTGACCAAAAATCCATCGAGAAAGTTTTTGGCGGGAACTTGTTCTGACGAAACTGGGAATGGAGGAACCTGGTCCGCAAGAGTCACGGTGACGCTGCATGGTCATCAGGAAAGGGTTTTCGCCAAGAACAGTTTTGCTGGATGCAGTGTGAGTTCCATATTTTCAGCTTCTATCAAGATCTATATTAGAAAACTTTGATGCTAGACAAGATACCAGCTAGCATATGGATTTACATGAATTCACACTAATCCCTTCTATAGACAGTGGATACAGTAAGTTTTTGGGTGATTATTTGCACTAAAATCATGTGGATTGTTGAATGGATAACAAAACGCATCACCTAGGACACAACTTGGATATCAAGGTGTATTCTTAGGAAATGGCTTAGCCCGTTTCCACACAAATATTTACCGTTAAAGAGCAGTGGGAAATGAGGGAGGATAAGTTGTAATGGTAAGAGCCTCGTATCGTAGTGTAAAGAATCCGGCCTGCTTTGCCTGGTGCACATGTGATATACGGTAAGAAGGGTGCAGCTGCTCAACTGAAACCCAGAGAAATATTCCATCATTCCTCTGTAGCCTGAAGGGCTGAAGATGTGATTACCGTAAGTGATACCGTACCAGTAGGTTAGGTTCATGACGTACCTGGATTGCTGTAACCATGTCACAACAGGTACCGGGTATGTCACAACTGGTTCTTACGGGTATGCGGAAATTGGTTAACCTGCTTCAAAAACCATCCTTGCCATACATGTGGACAACAAATGGAGGCCCTGATTAGAAGCACTTCCTTTGTGGAAAGCTATTTGCACTATGTGGAGGACAATCCACAAAGAATGAAGTGTTGACCTGAATGTGCAAGATGCGGGGTCAACATGGAATTGGCTCGCCCAAAATCCTGCAAACACGCACCAAGCACAAAGAACAAACGAAGCAGAAACGATTACTTCCGTTTGCTGCCACATTCCATTCATGTTGCACCGCAGAAAAATTCTGGAAACAAGTACACTGGCAGGGTTACAACAGCCCACCTTGTCATGACGTGGATGGGATAACTAGAAGAACGAGGAGAAGTTGGATGCATACGCCATGGGCCGCACATTCGGGTGGGGCTGTCAGGGAGACAGATAGGGTTGTTGAGGTGACGAGAGAAGAAGAGCGAGGGGAAGGCGATGAGTGAGGGTTTTAAAGAAGAAGGATGAGAAGTTGGATGCATACGCCATGGGCCGCACATAAGGGCGGGGCTGCCAGGGAGATAGGGTTGATGATTGAGCAAAGGGAGAGTGGGGAAGGAGATCAGTGTGGACTCTTGCAGCGCCTCAGACAAAGGAGGAGAAGTTGGATGCATGGGCCGCACATTCGGGTGGGGCTGCCAGGGAGTATAGGGTTGATGATGGAGCAACGGAGGAGGGGGAAAAGCGATGAGAGTGGGCTTTTGAGGCCCTCAAAAGAGGAAGGAGGAGAACTTGGAAGCACACCCATAGGCCTGACATTCGGATGGAGCTGTCAGGGAGATAGGGGAGAGGAAGCGCAGGAGAGGCGATGGAGGTGGGGAGGGGAGGTGATGGAGGTGGGGAGGGGAGGTGATGAAGGTGGGGAGGGAAGGTGATGGAGGTGGGGAGGGGAGGTGATGGAGGTGAAGACAAAAGCCAACGTCTCCACACCATCACATAAAGTAACAGCAGCAGCAACAGAGGCAGCAACAGCAACATCAGGACCAACAGCAGCCCCAGCAGCAGCACTCACCACGGCGGTGTAAGTGGTGAAGTTGGGCTTAAGATCGGGCGCTTGGAAGCGGATGAAGGCTACTAAAGAGCCTCAGAAGCCCAACACCAGTACGAGCACCCGCAGCACTCACCACGGCGGTGTAAGTGGTGAAGTTGGGCTTAAGATCGGGTGCTTGGAAGCGGATGAAGGCGCCCTTGTTGCCCATCTGGTCGCAGTAGTTGGGCGCTGAGAACACTGTTATCAGCTGCCCTGCCCCTCATGCTCCCATACCCACAGATTACCAGTGCCACCACCAGCCCCACCAGCACCTTCACCAGCTGCCCCTCATCCTCCCATACCCACACACACATCACCATGTCAGCAGCAGCAGCGGCAGCAGCAGCAGCAGCACTCACCACGGCGGTGTAAGTGGTGAAGGTGGGCTTAAGATCGGGCGCTTGGAAGCGGATGAAGGCGCCCTTGTTGCCCATCTGGTCGCAGTAGTTGGGAGCTGAGAACACCGTTATCAGCTGCCCATCGTGCTCCTCCTCATACCCCTCCTCCTTCACCTCGTGTGACCGCACCACCAGGTCTGCCAGTCAGGAAAATAACCAGAACCAACACAGAGCCAGACACAGAGCCACATATAGAACCAATACTGGCTGTCACATTCCTACACTGGACAATCAACCGCCCATGTAGCATTGATAACAGCACCATATGTACAATCTGCTTCTCACAACACCAATCATCCCACCAAAGCACATTCACCCATCATTCTCCCTTGTCCCCGACTCACACACCCAGCCGGCCCCTTTGCCCTCCCCTTCCCCTCACGCACCCAGCTTGTTGTCTTGCAGGAAACGCTTGGTGACATCAGAGCCAAAGGCCACACCCACGCCTACAGGTCTCTCCACACACCCACCAAACCCCACACACCCACATGTTTGGTCCCGATAGCAACACCCACCAAACCTCACGCACCCAGCTTGTTTCCTACCCCCTCCCCTTTCACGCACCCGGTGTGTTGTCCTGAAAAAACCGCTTGGTGACATCAGAGCCAAAGGCCACACCCACGCCCACGCCACCAAACCGCACTCAGCCAGCTCGCCCTACCACTCACACACCCAGCCCATCTCCTACCCCATATTCACACACCCAGCTTGTTGTCTTGCAGGAACCGTTTGGTGACATCGGAGCCAAAGGCCACGCCCACGCCTCTCTTGCTGGGCATGCGTCCCTGCCCTGGGAAGGGATCGCTCCACAGCACCTCGCACATCAACCCTGCACATGTGTGGGGGTACCGATTCCAGGTACACACAGAAGCTCCAACACGGGCATACATGGGAGAAGCAACAGGATTAAAGAGCAGCACTCCTTTCCTCACGCCTCTCTTGCTGGGCATGCGCCCCTGCCCGGGAAAGGAATCGCTCCATAGCACCTCGCACATCAACCCTGCACATGCGTGGGGGCAGCAACACGGGCATACATGGGAGAAGCAACAGGATTACAGAGCAGCACTCCTTTCCTCGCGCCTCTTTTGCTGGGCATGCGGCCCTGCCCGGGAAAGGAATCGCTCCATAGCACCTCGCACATCAACCCTGCACATGCGTCGGGGCAGCAACACGGGCATACATGGGAGAAGCAACAGGATTACAGA